TCCACCTGCACCTTTGTTTATTGTACTTTTTATGAATCAATTGTTAACAATGCTGCAGCTTAATAAAACGTCAAAACACAGGTACCCTAATTAATATGTTTATTCTTTAGACCATTAAATTATCATCTAAGTGAGACATGACACTATACAATTTGTTGTAGAAATATGAAAATTAAAAATACATTATACAATATCAAATAAGTTTTAATAGCCATTCTCTGTAACCACTTAAACTTCGTTGCCACGCATGGTCACCGATTTTGATGAAACTTCACCCATGCTAAGTACTTGACACCAGAAACAAATATCAAACAAAATTTCGTTGCTATGTGTCTCGGTTGCTATGGCAACAGCCGGAAAAGTTTGAAAAATCGAGATTTTCAGCTACTTTAAATCTTCACTGTGGCTTAACAAAAACTAAAAAAGCAAACAAACCATTCTCACAAAAACATGACACCTTGATGTCACTTATACTGTAAAGAAACTGTTTAGAATATATCTCTGAGTAAGTGGTAACCAAGGGTACATTTGGAATACATTTAAAATGCTGAAATATGCTGAAATATGCTGAAAAACACTCCGTATTCACTAATGGTAGGTGTTACATGCTCAAACTCAATCAACGACTTAAGAAAAACAATGAAAATGTTTGACCTTATGTATATAAGTATAAGCAATATTATTCTATAAATAACTTTTATGGTTGCCATGGTAACACATTGAAACCATGCAAAACCAGTAACTAAGTTTGGGTTAATGCTACTGTCTTGAGGAAAAACATGAAAATTCAAAACTGGCAAATATGCATCCTTAGGACCTTGCAACACCAAAATCATAAGAATATTGAGTATAATTGCTACTTTGCAGTGTTACTGGAAACAAAGTACCACTGCTTAAAACTGAATTATTTTTCGCTGCATTTAGAATTAAATTGCCATTTAATCAAGAAACAAATTAAAGGACTCAGCTTGAATAGTACTTTTCTGTTAGAACTGAAGTTGAATATCATATATTGATAAAATTTGATTAATAAAACAACACTGTTGCTATGGTTACCAAGAAGGGAAAATGTTCGATTTTGTGAACATTATATCAATATTAAACCCTGTGTGCCAACTTCTTGCATCCATTTAGAGATTGGATGATAGTCAAAATTAAGTCAAGTTAGCTGTTAATAAATATAAATCATAAAAGTTTTGGGAATCTACATTTAAGGGTACGTATCCAAGAAAAGAAAATATTTTTCAGGTTTTTAAGCATATATTTTCCGCTTATTCCCATAGCAACACTCTATTTAAAGAATCTAATCTGAATTTTTTCAAATGGAAAAACCTAGAGCACACCAGCATCTTATAAAATTGATCATTAGTTATGAGGAAATATGCTTTTTTTTTAAAGATAGGATCAGATTTAAACATACAGAGTGTTACATTGAAGGCTCTCTGTGGTACAAAAACCTTGGCAACCATTGCCAACCAAAATGAAATATCATATTTTGTTCTTGGTATATGTTTCAAGGCTCTTTTTTCTATTATTTGGTCACATTTCATCCTATAATTGCTTTTTATTTTTACATGTATGACTTTATAAAATTCAATGAATATTTTTTTTTACTTTTGAATACTTTGTTACCATAGTAACGTATGTAATAGTTGATTTACCAAACATGTTTATCATGCATTTGAGACATCTGACCTTCAACTTTTGGAAACAGTCATTGCCAATTGTTTGCTTTGCCGCAAATGTTAACTATGGGGCTCTAAACATGTTAAAACCTGCCATTTTTCGAACTTTAAGACATGTTGCCATGGTAACTATAAAACATAGCAACCAATTTTTGCCTGATTCCAGTTAAGGGTATCAATGACTTTTATCATAGTGAGTTTGGAGAAATTCTGAGACTATGCGTGCCACAGCTCCTATATAAAATTTCAAATCATTACAGAGAATGGCTCTTAATTAACTCAAAATTTATTTGAAATCTGAGGCTAGCCAGCAATAACTATTTGATTATCTGAAACAAACTATCAACTGCAATACTAGCGGCTGGATTTTCTCTATGAAATATTCCCAGTACTTATCTGGCAGACATTTCATACAAGATACATTATAATACTAGCTGGTGGTTTAAATTGCATAAAGCTGAACACAAGCATACTATATGATCATTGATAGGCTTCAATTTAAGAGGTATAACACCCTGCAAAATGTTGACGCATTTCAGTCGACCAATTGTCCTCTCTTGCCCTAGCTATGCGTCTTGTTTTTGTTACAGCTAAACCCGAGAGTTGTCTGTTAAAAGCAAAGGGAGGATGTTTAGTGTAGCTCCTTTTGGAGCCAGGTTTCCTCTTATCAAAAAGCCTCGGTCTGCCATTATGTCAACTCCTCTTAATCTATATTCTAAAAATCCAGATTCTTCAACTATCCGTTTATCAGAGATGCTGCCAGTGAATAAACTAGATAAAAAAGCAGATTGATCCTATCGGGGTAATTGCAATTAATGACTTTAGAGTATTGTGGTGCTTATATGATGACCAAGTAATTCTTGTGAGGAAGGTAGACTGGGCTTTTGAATAAAAAAAATCTGCAGTCAATAATACACCTTGTGCTAGGGAAAAATTTAAAACAACCCAATAATTTTTGTGCAGTTTGATTTCTACTTGGCCATGAAATTAAAATTTTAAGTTGCAATAAAAGAAAAGTTGTCCATTTGTGAAAAAAAAATTACTGACAGTTCCAGCCTGTACACCAAACATAGCACTCAAAGTTTTTGTATCTATTCTTCTTCTGAGGTGCATCAGGGTCATCACAATTTCTTCACAAATAGATAATTGTCTCTTTGACCCTCTCCTTTTCATCTAAAAATGTAGTATAGTTTTTTTTAAAGTTCTATAAATGTCAGTAACAATAAATACTTGATTTTAAGTTTAAAACTTACAGCTATTTTTCTGTAAACTATTTTCAATTTTGAATATAATAAATTTATGTGAATAGTTGAAAATCCAGTGAAATGAGGATGATCAAATAAGGCAAGAATGAACACCTATTTCCCTAGGAGTTATATTATTAATATTTTAAGATTGAAGCAATAATACCTCATTGTTTTCCAGATTAGTTTCCTTTCCCCTCCAGTATGAAAGTCTGGCAGCTTTGTCTTTGAGCAAATTGAGCAACAGAAAGAAAATGCCAAGAGAAAGACCTTTTATAATATTCATGGACATAAATTAATGTGAAAAATTATAATGATAATAATGATTGTTTTTATATAGTGCCTTTCTAGCATAAATGCTACTCAAAGCACTTTACAATACATTATATCAAGAAAATTCTAATTTATACAAGCACCATAACAGTGTAGAAAGGCGCTAATATGCTGATAAATGTAAAATCGGTCCGACACTGGATACTGGAAGTGGAAACAGCAGTGGTGTTGGCTTTTTTGCAATATGAATGGTCAACTTAAAAAAAAATGGCCATTTTGAAGCAAATGAATTTCACCGCCAGATTAAAACCAAGCAACCCCTAACCCCAACACACCCACCCCCCAAAAAATCTATAGATCATTATATATTATACCTTTGGGAATGTCATCCTTTTCTTCTATTACCGCCAACACTTCCACATCTTTATTATGTATTTGTTGTACAACACAGTCAGCACTGCTTTGCCCCCAACTCCTGAAGACATTTCTTCAAGGGCCCCCACATCCCAGCAAAATACCTCTGATAAAAAATGTCTGGATAAATTATAAATTAAACCAAATACATAAAAATAACAATACTTTACAATACAATAGATTGATTTTGATTTATAAGGAGAGATATTCATATAAACTTGTCACAAAGATGATTTAGATCATATTGTACCATTTTTTATTTTCTTTCAATTTCCTGTGGCCCTATTTCCGTTTTCAACTCTGTTCCAGAGACAAACTGAAAGTGCTTCGAGCATATGTGCGTCCGATTGTCGACTTGTTTACATTAGCTACGGAGAATCCACCTCTGGCATTTATTTGGTTGAGAGAACGATTTCGGAACAGGAATCCAGCTTACGGCAGTCATGTACTATCTTTCTGTATACCGGGAATCACTCTTGCACCCCCAACAACAATGTTTAAGCATACTGGGACTAAACGCAAACTATAATAACTGTATTAAAAGTTAAATATTTACATTCAGTGTAATTTTCATAAAATCCATTAGAAATCCATGACGTTCAAATCTCTATAACACATGCGAACCTTGTCACCGCGCGTTAGAATGCACAGTAGGAACTATATCATTTTAAATACTCTAGAAAAACCAAAATGTGCATTGTTTTGACACAATTTAATAAAAATAATAAACCCTGCTAAATTAACGTAAAAATACAACAAATATGCGTTAAAAATTAACTTGTCACTTTTTTCCTCGCAATGTTCGTTTGCGTCATTTAACATTGCAACGTCACAAACGTCAAAAACGGCTCTTACGTCTATAAAGCACGCCAGGTTTGAAGGGGCGCTAAACACACATTTAAATTACCGAAATAAACAATTATGAAGAGGAAAAATTAGAGAATGTAAATATTAGCATTGAATTCATATTTTGGGATGTCTTCGGTCCAGTAACACACCTGGCTGTGCCGACAAATTATCATACCGCGCTAACGCGCGGTATTCAATTTGTCGGTACGGCCAGGTGTGTTATAGGATCGAAGACATCCCAAAACACGAATTCAGTGCTTAAATAAGCCTCACCTCGTAATGTCTGGTATCGCTTACAGCCTTGAAAATTGTGACGTCAGGACTCCTTATATCATGTATAATTGGAAAATCGACTATTGTGACGTCACTTTTGCGCGAGTTTCTCCGTGTGTATTTCTACGCGTGAGTATACACAAAAATGGTTTTCAAATCAACAAGCAAATGTAAATATATATATATATATATATATATATATATATATATATATATATATATATATATATATATATATATATATATATATATATATATATATATCGTCGGAGGCCCTAAATTCGTTATGGTCCTAGAGTCGTGTCCCTTTTGTTTTTCTCTCGTATCTCGCGAGATTTCGTCCGCGACTGCGCACACCGTGAGAAACAGCTTACTACGATTGATTACGTCATATTTACAACTACAGACGACAATGAGGTCAAAACAGGTAAAAAAAATAGTATGAAAAAAAAATTTTAGTTGATTAACAGTCAAATCCATTATTACCAATTAAGTATGACGATAAAGTCCATTTTTTTGTTTTATTACGACCTATATTGAGTGCATCAGTGCTATTTTACGCTTTGTTTACATTATATCAAGAGAAGTCACATGACTACATTGGAATTCGATAGGCCAAACAAAGTTAATTTTTCCAGTCATGTTGTATTGTTCCTTAGACATTTTTTTTTACAATGGATTTGTTTGTTTGCTATTGTAGAAAAGTCCCAAGCCTCACAAAAGAAACTATAGGCTTTATTCTCCATCACAAATGACAAATGCATATAAAATGGTTAAAGAAAAGAAAATGTCAGTTAGGAAAGCTTCAAAAATTTTTCGGGTGCCTGATACAACTTTAAGGGACAGGGTTCTGCTAAAAGTTGACCCAGAAACTGCTGTTTTTGGTAAAACTCCAGTTCTAGACAACCTTGAAGAGGCAAATCTAGTAAATCATTTTAAAACAATGGCAGCTTTTGGTTATGGGTTTACTAGACAGGAATGCATAAATATTGCAACAGATTACGCAATTTTTGTGGGTAAGAGAACTCCTGACAAGCCCTTTTCTATGAAGTGGATGAGAGGTTTTTTAAAGCGATGGCCTGAATTAAAAGTTTTGAAGCCACGAGGGTTAGAGCATGTTAGAGCGAAAATGGCTTCCAGTGAAACTGTGTCCAACTACTTTGAAAATCTTCGTAACACTCTTTCCAAACATGATCTGTATGGAAAGCCTCATCTCATCTTTAATGTTGATGAAAAGGGTATTTCTGTTGACCACAAACCACCAGCCGTGGTCGGAGATTCAGCTTACTGTCCGCAGTCAGTAACATCGGGTTGTGGAAAGACTAACACCATTCTTGGAGGAGGCAGTGCAAGCGGTGTCTCTGTACCACCTTTTGTTGTCTTCCCTGGCAAACGGATGATGCCAGAGCTATTGAGTGGAGCATCCCCAGGGGCTAGTGGCACGGTGCGCGAAACTGGGTAGTCAAATGGACAAATCTTTCGACAGTATCTGGAACACCACTTCCTCAAGTTTGTTCCACGAGATGAAGGACAGATATTGCTCCTCTTAGATGGACACAAATCCCATGTGTCTGTGGATCTTGTAGAGTGGGAAAGTCAGAAGGGGATAATTAGCTTTATACTTCCAGCCCATACAAGCCATGTATTACAACCAATGGACGTTGCCTGCTATGGCCCATTTCAAAACATTTACAATTGTTTGTGCCACAAGTTGATAAGGGAGACAGCAGCAACAATTACCAGGTATAACATTTGTGAAATTGCATGCAAGGTGTACACGAAGGTGCTGTCTCCCGAAAACGTCCAGTCAGGATTTCGACGTACCAGGATTTACCCCCTTTGTAAAGACGCAGTACCTTCGAGGTATTTGGTACCAGCAGAAGTCTTCAAGGGCCTGGCTGCTGAAAGCCAAGAGAATGAGAGAGGATTGGGAGATAATGAAGATCAGCAAAATTATGTGGTAAAGTTACAAGAGAAGGAGAACCATCTGAAGGCAAAGAAGAGTGGAGGAGAAATTAAAGAGAGGAAAACTATGAGCAAGATCGTGTCCGGCAGGGAAATTTCAGAAAATGTGCATCAGCGAATGAAAGACCATGAAAAAAGTCAGAAGAAAAAAGAGAAAGACATTGGGGGTAAAGAAGCACCAGAAGACAAGTTTTAGAAAAACTGCACTTATTGACGATTTACCAGGCCCGTCAACAATAAATCTGACCATATCCGAGGATCTCCAAAATACTTCAGACACTGACAGTGATGTTGAAATGGATCCCTCTAAACTGTGCTGCGTTTGCAAGAAGTTTCAGCCAGATGAGTTGAAAAGATGTGTTTCTCTTGTATTTGTGAAGTGGGCTCAATGTGACTAGTGCAGCCATTGGGTTCACTTGATCTATTGTTCACCAATACGTGTTGTGAGAAGAAATGATCCTTTCTTTTGTCCACACTGTAGTACAGAGTAACACAATACTGCTAGCTGCTACTGCATAAATTTGTATTGAATTAGTGTTAAATTCATCTTAGTTATATAAGTTTTTATAATTGTTTAACTTAAAAATTCATTCTTTGTAAAGATTGTATTAATTTGTCTTTAAAAAATGTTGACACACAGTTAAACTTTGAGTTGAAAAATGAAAAACGTATATATTCATTCTCTTGGCCTTTTTACTTCAATTTCCGGTGACGTCACGACCCTAGGACCTGCTTTTCAAAATGTCGCCGAGTAAACATCGGTAACTTAAATGAGATGAAAACAATCAAAAAGGCATATTTTTTTTATTGAACAATTTACTGCAAAGAAAAGAACATGTTTAATTGAGGTATGACTTACGAAATGAAACAGCACTTCAAATTTATTTACAAACAGTCACGATCAAGTTAGGGTAACGACTCATGGACCTCCGAGGATATATAATAAAAAACTTTAAAACACTTTTCGACAAAAAATATATATATATATATATATATATATATATATATATATATATATATATATATATATATATATATATATATATATATATATATCCAAAAGAAATGAAATAGATATCTCAGTGTCCGGTAATCAATATTAAAATAAAACAAAAAGGCAACACTTGTTTAAACGTAAGTGCTTTCATTGTTTTCTTCAGACGTGTGTAATAAGTAACGTCAAAAACAATACAATGACGTCACAATACTGATAGAGGAAACAATTACATGAGTTAAGGTAGATCGCGGGTTTGCTGACGTCACAATAGGATTCGACGTAAAAAGCTTACTACGTTTACAGTATCAACTACAAACAAGCAAAATGTATTTCCATCAGTACATTAAAGCTTCTTTTGTATGTAAAAATATTTATTTATATGTAATAAAAGATAAAGGATTAATCAATAACTAATCAATACTAAATTAAATTAAGAGTTAACATAACGTTAAAATATGAAAGGTCAAAATTTATTCAAATAATATGACTCTGTGTTTCATTGAAAAAAGTGTGACAATTTAATAGGTAAATTATGACAATGTTTGCTTTTAAAATTGCCAATCAATTAAAAATTTAAAACAATAAAAACATGGTTTATTTTCAGTTTAAAAATTTTGAAATACACCGAACATTCTAAGACGTACGAAAAAATGACTCGCACTTAAAGTTATTTTTAACGTCAATCAAGTTATTTACGTTGTTACAAATATAATAAAAAATTTAAAACTTTTTTTATATAAATATAGAGAACACATATTAATTTTTTTTAATATATATTATTATAAATTTATCCTATTTATTATATTAAAGAATAAATAAATTCTCAGCGCCGGGAATTTAAAATTAGGCATGGATTTGAAATACATTACCTGGAAAAGAGCGCTTTCATTGATTTCTTCAGACGTCGTCAGTAACTCACAAACATGAGTCCTTTGAAAAATGATTAAGGAAAATAACATGTTGCAGACGAATCTTTTTACAAAAATGTTCTAAAGTAACTATTTAAAAAGAGGTTTTCAGTTTTTTCAAATTTTCTCCTTTTTCGGCTTGCACAACCGCTGATAAGTTGGTAAAGGAAAAATAAGCATTGTCCCTGCATACAAATATCTGTGTTATACAAAAATGTCTAAAGGTATTCAGGATTTGGGTTTTAACAGTTTTATAAGTACACGTGTACTAGTGTTTCACAACTTTCCCCAATATAGAATTGTCGGCACAACCTGCACATGTCCCCTGCCACAAATTTTTTAGATGTCCCCTTCATTAATTTTTTGGTTTTCATTTGGTTTAAAGTCCTGATTGTTAAAAGGGACGTTAGTTTTCCCGTTTCCCAATTAAAGGAATCGGCAACACCTGTCACTGAACAAAAAATTTTTTAAAACTTTTTCATTTATATCCTGCTTTTTGGTAAATCCCTTTTGCCGAAATTGATAAGACTTCACTTTTCTTTAAATTTGGGCCCTTTCCACAACGGGATTGTAAAACTTTTCAGTTGACGAATGGTTGGTGGTGAATAGATTTGTTTCCCCGGATTCTTGGTTGTCGTTTCTTTAAACTTATCTTCAAAAATCCAACGGGTTTTTAAAAAACCGAAATTTTTTTTTATTTTAAACCTGAAAAAGAAAAAAATAAATAAAAATATATATATATATATATTTATCCTGCAACTACCCCTTGCATTGACCTAATAAAGGTAACCTAATAAACCAAAGCTTTATCCGGTCACTGCCCTAATAAAGCCTCGTGCATGTATTCCGACGTTCCAAAAGCATTGTGACGTCATGTATATTGCAATGTTTACGCCATGGCGTCATAGTTTAAACTGCAGAGATGTGCCTAAATATGTCGGAATAAGCTTGCTTTGGACGTTCAAATGTAAAATTTTGTTGCAGGATAAACAAAATACATGATAACTGTCTTCATTGAAATATAAGCGATATTTGGGCTCGGGTCGAAAACGTAAGAGAGCTCGGCAAGCCTCGCCCTCTATCACGTTTTCTTACCCTCACCCAAATATGACTTGTGAAATATTTCAAGACAGTAACCATGTATTTTATATATATACCCCCTCATAACTAGGAAAATATAGCAAGAGAAAATTTAAAGATCAATTGTATAACATTTATCCAAAAAACAAAGCATAATAACAAGGGACTTTTTAACGCAAAAGAAAAATAACGTCATGTTTCTGCGTACTATGTCATCAGTTTCAGAGAGTGGTGATATGGATTCAGAAAAACCACAGTGTGGTGATCCGGAAAGTCGGATCACGACTTCATGTATTGGCGTAAAATCAACAGTAAAATTGAGTGACACACATTAGGTATATAATAAATTAATATATTTCAGATAATAAGTTGTCACAAAGAGAGAGGCGTTATCTGACTCCTATTCCCATCCCTGTTTTACCTACCAGCATAGTAAAAACAACCTCCGATCGTTTTGCTTTTCCTATGCAATTTTCTCACGTACAATGCATTCAGGACCGGATTCGGCGCACCTCTTTAACACGGGAAGGACTAATGGAACTCTTTGTTTACAATGGCGGGAAATTCCAACCCTCGTTAATGGCGACGGATGAGAAAAGTGCACTTTCAGATTTTCCAAACCTTCTACCTATTGGCCAATTTAAGGTACTTATACGTGTTTTTGTCATATTTTTACATTCATTTAGTGATGTGTCATAAAATTAGAAGAAATTGTACCTTTTTCGGTCACCCAGTCACTCAGCAGGTGACCTTTTGCTATTTGTTTTCGTCCGTCGTCGTTCGTCGTATGTCGATCGTAAACTTTTGAACATTTTCAGATTCTTCTCTGGAAATACTTGCGTCAAAATTTGGCATATAGCATACCAAAACACTTAAATTAATGCGATCTTTAAAAAATCTTCTTTACTCCAGGACATCAAGCAGTCAAACTGTTTGCATGATTGTTACATCAAGCAGTCAAACTGTTTGCATGATTGTTATATCAAGCAGTCAAACTGTTTGCATGATTGTTACATCAAGCAGTCAAACTGTTTGCATGATTGTTACATCAAGCAGTCAAACTGTTTGCATGATTGTTATAAGCATTGAGTCCTCTACCAAAATTGTGAAATTTATGGCCCCATGGTCTGTGGGTTCTAGTGCTATGATGGGGCTAGGTAGATTATATAGTGAAAGTGCATTAATTTTTTTGAAATTCTTCTTCTCTGCTCCTGGGTATTGAATAAACTAGGTACATAGTTATTATGTTTTTATGGGTGAAAATTTATTTTTATAGTGATTTATTATTAAAATTATAAATGTCGAGTTCACATATCTCAATTTGGTAAAAATAATGTAAAAAAAAACGAAATTCAAAATAAAAAAAAAAAAAAAAAACAAAAAAAAAAACAACACGTGTAGTCAATTTATTATTCACTATTTATTAAGAAATAACAATAAGTGACGTCATACACAACACTACAAATAAAGATCACATGGTACACAAACTGATAATGAATGAATGAATGCAACATGTATCCGAAACATCTTCCCTCCCAGCTACGGAAATACAATGAACTTTTAAACGAAATTAATTTTAGACTAGAATATACATTTGACTGGAACATTCATTACCTGAATCATTTTAAAGGGTACTTATTTTACGTGAACATTGAATACAAACCACACTACAACTCTACAAATACACAGTCAATTACACAAACATTCAAATTTTTCTGAAAAAAACACATAATTATGTCTTTAACCAAATGTCATTAAACGCAATCATCAAGGTTCTTTGGACGTTGGACGACGCGTCCACTGCGCGTTTGCACCACTCCTGGTTTTGGTGATTGTGGAATTTTAGGAACATGAGGAATGTCGCTCGCGATTTTAGGCTCCAGCTGGAGCATGTTTCATCAAAGGTCGTACGCCCAGTCGTAGCGCTACGCCGGTGTAACGACGAAAAGTAACCCCCGTAGAATATTGACCGGGGGTCATTTTTCTACGTAGAAATTTGACCCCTTGGTCAATATTCTACGTAGAAAAATGACCCACTTTTTGTAGAAGTTATTGCCTTGGGGTCGTTTTTCTCCGTGTGCATTGTAGAAAAATTAACCCGTAGAATATTTACCCCATGTCATTTTTTTATGCAATTTTTTAAACATTTGTTTTGGTAAGAATATTCTTGTTAGGCAAATGCATACGGGTAATATCAAGCAGCCTTATGAT